AGCTTATGCAACAGGATTCTGACTATTATTTTGGTGCCTTGAACTAAGTACCTGATCTGTGCAGGAACTGAAGCCTACAAACACCAGAGTTCTTGTTCATCAACCCTTCTGGCTTTGGAGATTTTCTTAGAAGAGAAAGCCACATGCTCAGTTTTAATTACTCTTTTGTAGTTGTGAGGGCTAGAAACTTGCTTTAAATATGTATATTAAAATGGGTGTTATAACATTTAAATTCTGTCCTTTTCTGTTGTCATGTTTTAGGTTTTTTTTCCTGCAGTCTTGTCATAATTGCAAAAATGCAATTATGCCATAAGCAGAACGAATTACGCTATTCACCCCAATAACAGATACTGACCATATAATCTAAGAGCATTAAGAAACACTGAACTGAAATCACTGAAATGTTCTTCTTTTGCCTAATCTTACAGGGACAAAGGTGGCAAACAGAGTCAGTGGGTCATTTCAGCATCCCAAGGCCAAGGAAGAGGGGACACATACTGCTACCGGGATGACCCCAAGGAAAGAGAAATCCCACATCTGTATTGACTGTGGAAAATGCTTTGCACGCCCCTCTGATCTGGCTAAGCACGAGAACATCCACACTGGCGCAAAGCCCTTTCGCTGCATGGCGTGTGGAACACGATTCAGTCAGTTGTCCCACTTGACCAGGCACCAGAGGATTCACACAGGGGAAAAACCCCACACATGTACTGAATGTGGCGCAGCATTTGCTCAACGGGCTTCTCTAGTGAGTCACCAGAGGGTCCACTCAGGAGAGCAGCCATATCGCTGTTCTCACTGCCAGCAGTGTTTCAGCCACCAGTCTGCGCTCAAAGTGCATGAACGTATCCACACAGGCCAGAAACCTTACATCTGCCTGGAATGTGGAAAGAGATTTGTTTCCTCCTCCACCCTTAAAATTCATAAGAGGATCCATACAGGAGAAAAGCCATTTTCCTGTGGCGAGTGTGGGAAGCGATTCATTCAGCGCTCCAATCTGATTTCCCACCAGCGGACGCACTCTGGGGAAAAGCCGTTTTGCTGTGGCGTGTGCGGGAGAAGGTTCAGCTACCCGTCGGACCTTACTAGGCACCAAAAGATCCACACAGGGGAGAAACC